TACGGAGCAGAGCGGATTACAGTTGCATCATCAGCTCTGACCACCTCGTATATACATGAGTTTGGTAGTGTGATTCAATGGAGGTATGCCACAAGCCCGGTGAGTCTTTACTGCTATCATTATCACCATGTAATAGTGCTGATTATATCCAACATCTTTGCTCAAGAAAAATTTCGTAAGTTTTTCCTTCACTTTCTCGGACACGATCATGTTCTTGATCAATACAAAGTAGTTTGCACTGTCCTTCAACTTCGTAAGTTTGTCCTTCACTTTATCCGACACGATCATGCTCGGAATATTTCAAGAGGATAAACTCGGAGCATTGGGTCTTTTTACTGGAAGCCGAAAAAAGAATTGAGTTTGATCATCAACCACACGTGCCTACAAGAATAGGATTGTGCATCAGTGGAGTTTTGGATTCTACTTATATGTCTCGCTGTATTGTTGTCAGTTTTGAACTTAGGTCTGAATATGATCCAAGTATTCCTGGTCATACCAATCGTGTACAAAAGGGTATCGTGGAGTTATGCGTCTTAGAAGATGCATTTAGTCGATCACAACATTTCATTGATTATACAAGGTACAACTCAATACGGTAAGGTTATATCTTTGCACCTTTTGACTTGCTTCCACCTTATTACATTCACTATTATGATCTGCAAAAGAATACGTACCAGACCACTTGTTTAGTATGCTTGACCCCAAACTTGCATTTATTTCAAGCTTCTGTATACATTTGGAAGCCTAAATGACATTACATGTGTTTCAATATTTTGGGAAGCTATTGGATAAGAGAAGCTAATGCAAGTATGGCTAGGCACAACAGTTGGTCTGTTTGGAGGATGATGCATATTGTTTGTTTGCAATGACTTTGAAATCTTACTAAATCTCGAATTAACAATTAATTAAAGAAAAATCCAAAGAGCTGAATAAGCAAATTAAGAAAATGCATATGATTTAGTTAAATAAACTAGATAATTAACCGCAATATACGCGGAACAATATGATTAGTGAGTAAAATCAATATAGTTTTAGGTAAAAAAAAATCATGTATAT